AACGACCAAACCCCAACCCCAACCCCAAACCCAAACCCCATATCCAAACCCCAAACCCAAACCCAAACCCCAAACCCAAACCTTTACCCAAACCCAAACCCAAACCCTAATGAAGAAAATTGATGATTTATGATGGCATCCTTGAGGGAGTTGTAATCCTTGAAACTCTTTGAAAAGAATCCTTTTGAATATTATATATTAATGACTAGACTGAAGATCTTCATCAACAATTCATTCTGTTTGTGATTTAACAATAATGGATCGGATAAATTTTCTTCCTCTTCTCCTGGATTTGATACTCATAATACTGATCACTGCTTCGTTGTGTTGTTAGATTTTTTGAGCATCTTAAGTCAATTTATAAAATGTAATAATTAATGAGCTAGTTAATAGTATAACAGCTAAGCATGGCATTTATTTCAAAAATCATTGTTTTCTCGTTGATAATTTCTATTTAATTGGAGTTTGAAGCTAATTATGTTTGTAATTGAGGTTTAAAACTTTTTATTATTTCTCATCAACTATTTTGATTGTAGTGACTATCAATATTTATGTTGAACATATCTTCTTTGCTAGATATTGACAATATAACTACCACTTTTATCAGATTATTCTTGCACAATTACTTAAACCTATCGATTTGCACTGCCAATGACTCCTTTTTTTTGCACTTGTATTAAATTGAAATTTTATGTGTATCCAGAAATATAAACTTTTTGCTGATTTCAAGACAATTCGTCAACTGAACCATGCAAATTTGAATTATCAATAAATATATGCATTACAAATTATGATAAAAAACTCTAATTGTGCAACTTTCTTCTTTTCAAATCTTTGCTCATATAAACTTTGTAAATCATCAAACAATTGTTAATCTTAAGCACATGCTTTATGCTAATGATTTGCTTTTTTCATGGGAATTGGTTGTAAAGCAGCTGTTTATTCTTACTCTAATTGTAGTACAAGCTATTTATTTGATTCATGTTGCCATTCTTAAAGTAATTTCAAAAACCATATTTTGTTCCAGAATTATTATCTATTATCACATTGCACCATTCAGATATTAAATTTTGCCACTTATTCTATAAATGCATATACATTTATATGGGCATTAAATAGAAGCTTTTCAGATCATATTGCAAAGTATTTGATTTTATTTGATATTTTTTCTATTGTAAATTTATTAATAAAGAATTGCAATCAAGCCTTCCTGTTAATAATGTTGCGAACAGTCTTTTTAAGTTCCATAATGTTTTGTGTTTCAGCAGTGCACCACCAATTTCTTTAGCATGCTATGAATTTTGTTTATTTCTTAATACAACATTCTTAATCGCTTATTAAAGTGCTAAACTTCTTTGATAATTATAGTATTTAAAAAGAACAAAGTTCAATCCAAGCTGATAATGAAAGCAGAGAAACTAATGCAATCAAAAAAATATTAATGGATTTGCATCATGTTTGTCTTAAGATAAATGCAGTACATATTGGGTTTAAACTGAAAATTTGGCAAACCAAAGCAGGAACAAGTTTATCACATTATATTATAATTATACTAGTGAGTTGTACAATAAAACAGAAATTTATATTCTTAATCTCTTTATGAGAATAGTTCTACTAGTATGGACAGCAAGCTACATTTAGAACCAACTATTTGTATACAGTCTATCTAGTTAATGTAATCCTTGTTTATATAAGTTTTGCCCTGTTTGTTATTCAGTAATTGAGCGAGATTCTTTTTACAGTATTTTAACTACTCAGTTTATAAGCTCTTTTTTGAAAGATTTGTGATATTAATTGTTAATTAGTAGCTTATTTCAATTATTTTTTACTGCTTGATTGCAACAAGCGCTTTAGAACTTAATAACTGTATCTACTCCTAATTAGAGCTATTATATCAATGCGTAGTTGTCGCATCTTGTAGACGAACTCAAACCTGCTATTTTTCTATTAAATTAAAAAGCGTAAAATTATTCATGTTTGGACTTAAGATGAATTCAGGACAAAATTGTGACACTCACTCGTCAATCATGATAGCAGTAGAGGTGGCTTTCAAGTTACTTTTAAGAAGCATGTTGTAAGAAAGTACAAGAAAGGCTGTCAGTTAAAAATTTATATTGATAATCAACTTATATCATATTTAGCAAACAGTTTTTAATAATGTATTATGACAATTCTGGTTCATCTTTGTTTAACGATATAACTTGTATAATATTTGATTCCGGATGTTCAAAATACTTATCATATTCGCTTCTTTGGATTGTATTCTAGGGCTACTATTATCACTTCATGCACATTTTATGTAGGCAATGAGGTGACAAAAATACTTTTTTCACAAATGCATGAATGGAATTTAAAGATGCTAGTACATAATTTGGTTACCTATTTATATTATCCTTCCAAAGAGTTACTAGGGCTGCTAGCAATCACAAAACTATAAGAGTGTTTACTAAGCAAAATTTCTCCACTTTTACATCATATCTCGTATATATCATATTTTGTCCTTCTTTTAATAATGGCTACTTCATTTATAATCAGTATCCTCCAAACCATCCGCTTTAAGTGTAATTATAATAACTACCTAAGGTTATGCTAAACTCTTATAAATAACCTTTACATCCACAAAGAAAATGAAAAGGGAGATTAATCTAAATCGCTGCTTATCTTGCATTTGCTGCTATCTTGCGCTTAAAGCCCAACCTATTATTTAAGTTTTACCTATATAAATCTTATAAATCAACTTTTCACAAGAATATCATATTAAAAGCTTATTATGTTTGTTAGGATGTTCTTAAACAGCTAAAATAGTCTTTTCTATTTCTGAATTAATAACTCACACTTTGAGAATTGCTACTATTTAAAACCAGGAGAGTTTGTCATTGATTCTGCTAAATATTTTGATCTTGGCCCATCTGCAATTACATTCATAGGTATTTTATAGAGAGAGTATGACCTGATATAAATGAGTTTTGAAGATTAAGTATGGTATAACAGCCAACTTTATTGAATTGCCATTCCACTTCTATCTAAAGATACTTTCAACATATCCAAAAATAACTTTACCTCCTCTTACATCAGATCTTCAGGGTAGTGATTTTGAAGATGACTTCATAGTTGTACTTTAAGCAAGATTTTATTTGTTGCATATATAAAGACATCCTTATTCATTAAACTTGTGTTGTCGTTAGCAATTATATTTATTGATTTAATTGAGCCCTGTCAATGTCAAACTTTGTTACAAGATGCTGAGCGTTAACTCAAATGCAAATCCTTTCAAAATCTCAATCGTGCACAGCAACTATTAAATTAAGAAGGAGTTATATCATGTTAGTGTAAGTGGATGGCCTACCCTAGAGAGAATATGCCATTGTT